TCAGGGACACCGATTCCCTCCACTGTGAGTTCCGTCTCCCTGGCAGGACTTGTGTCTGGAACCTCGGGTGAGCGCACGCGTTCCCGCATTCCAGTCCCTATCAGAGCCGAGAGCCCACCCCAGCCACCTGTGTGCCCGACCCCTCCTGCCCTCCCAGGCCAGGAGCCTGGCCCTGGCACCCCCTCCGAGCCAGCCCCTGCGTATCAAAGATGTTGTCTCCTCCCAGAAGCCCGACGACACTCCGTACCCTCAGTGTGGGGAAACCCAGGCGTGTGTGCACACGCGCGCCGGCCAATAACATTAGGTGTCATTTTAAAAAAATGGGTTAAATAAGCAGTCGGAGGACCACGGCGCAGGCTGATGGCGCGTCTGCACGTCCTGGCGGAGGAGGCAGGCCGTCTAATGACTGAATTATCACCCTAATGCCTTTTGCTGGCTGGGAACAATCCTGGCCAACAGCTGCCTCGGGGTTTTTGGCTGGTTTCCTCTAATTGCATCCAGATTAAGGGATCCGGGCGGGGCGGCCCTTCTCCATCCCTCTGAGCAGAGTCCTCCCGGAGCCCACACACCCGGGGCTTCCGAACTCCTGGCTGCTCTGAGAGGCGACCTTTGCGGGGCCCAGGCCAGCCCACAGGGGTGCGAGGCAGGAGCACTGAGGGTGGGGGTGGCACTTGGTTCAGGGTCTTGGGTGCTGTGGGGGTGAGCGGCTGTGGGAGCAGCGAGATTCAGGAGAAATGTTTGCACCAGGGCCCTCCAAATGAGGGGAGCCCTGGACAACCCCTCCAGCAGCCCAAAGGCACAAGCTATCACAGAGCAACTGCTGCTCCAGCCTGAGGGGGGACCCTCTTCCCCTCCTGGGCACCCCTGCCTCTCCAGGGGGGTCCTGCTCGCGCTGGAGAAGGCGTGTTCCAAACCCTGACATTTGGACTCAGACCTCCTGGTGGTGGCGAGATGGTACCGGCTGCCCAGTTCCTCACCCCTCCCCAATTCCCAGCCCCGCCCGGCCACCATGCAGCTCCCCTCACTATGGGGACAGATGGTCCATCCCACCCTTGATGCTGAGTCCGGCCACGTGATCTGCTTTGTCCACAGGAGTGTCAGCAGGTGTGATGTCCACCGGGGCCGGCCTGTGGGAGAGACGCAGACACAGAGCAGCGCCAAGGCCGACCTCTGCGCAGGTGGGCATCCCTCTGGAACTTCACAGCAGGTTCACCCCGACGCGGGAGCAAGCCCCACCCAGACCAGACTGCCCAGCCTAAACCGCCGGTCCTCGGACCCGCGCGCAGACAAGTGTGTGCACTCTGAGGCCACCAAGTTTTGGGGGCATTACGTAGGGTCACTGTGGAATGGGTAACTGGGGCACCTGTTCACTGGGACCCGGTTTCCAGAGGTGGGTTGGTGTAGCACCTGGTCAACTTGAGCCAATTCCAACAGAGAAAAGCAGTCCACCCCCCACCCAGCTGGGACCCTGCCACTGGACTGTCACGGTCAGCACCCCAAGATCTGGGCATGAATGGGGCTCCAGGATGGTCTCCCCAAAAGGCTCTTTGGACAGAGGGACAAGGGACTTGGAAATACCAGTCTCAGTCACCTCGCCCGCTGGAAAACTTGGGCCTGAGGAGCAAAGAGAATCTGAGAAGAGGCGGCTGCTGACTCCCCCTTTCCTGCTGATAAACATCTTCCCGCATGTTTAAAGTGCTCGGCATCCCGGCAGCGGCCAGCTCCATCCAGGGGGAAATGCCGAGTGGGGAGCAGCGCAGCTGGGGCTTCGTCTCCCCGCCTCCACGCTTCGCCGGGCCTCCTCCCTGGAAAAGATGTGCGGGAGGATCCGCGCGCCCTTGCTCCTACCAGTCCACATGGCTTTCTGTGCCAGTGCTGGAGGGAGCACTACCTGCCCTGGTCTGTCCACCTCCAAGTCCCGAGGAGCAACTGATACATGCACACACACGCACACGCACACGCACACACGCGTGCACCCCCCCTGGCTGCTCCATTTGGTGAGGTGAACACTAGAGAACCTCACGAAGAAATTCCCCAACCCGGGGAGGAACCAGGAGCCCGTCTCCAACACCTCGTGGCTCAGGCTCCCGGGCAGGCAGTTTCCTTCACACACCAGGGGATAAAAATGTTTAAACGAACAGTGTGAAAGCCCCCAGCTCCTCAGGCCCCCCACTGGTCAAGCTTCTCTTTCCTGAAATCAGTGGGGTGATTTTTTTCTTTTTGGGGGGCAGATGGCTTCTCGTCCGCGTTGCAGCTGTGGCGGGAGCGGCTGTGGGAAGCGGCCGGCTGGCTGAGATGAGGTCTGCTAAGGACTGTGTCCCGCTCGCTCGCAGAGATGCCTCTGGGCCTGGATGGGCCCCCCTTCTGCCCTGCCTCCCCAGGTGTTGGGGCGTGACTAGACCCGCTTTTCCTCTCTCCGCCCCCCGACGTCTGGCCATGCCCTGCGTTTGCGACCCAAGCGGGAGGAAATCGGGGCCTTGCTGGGGTGCATCGGAGGGAGGCCGCCCAGACGCCGGCGGCCTGTCTCCAGGGGCAGGGCCTGCGTGTTCCCGGCCCACCGTCCGGGAGCTGACCCTTCTCTGGGTGACTGGCGGGACTTTCTTCTCTCCCTTCCAGGCTCTGCTTTCCTAGTTAATGTGAAATGTTCCCTTCACGTCGCCCAAAGGCATTGGCCATTCCCTGTCCCGGCCATGCCCACGCCCACCCCCTCCCACGTGCTGGGGCCAGCGCGAGGTCCCCTCCACCCTGGCCCCGCGCAGGGAGCCGACCTATCTGCGGAAACCAAAGCCTTCCCGGGGTGTCTTTGGGCCCTTCTTGCGTTCTCCGGGGGGCGTGGGCGAGGGCATCTCCGCTGTGCCCCCGTAGGGGCAGCTCTCCGACCCCGGGCGGTGGCCCGCGCACTCCACGGCGGGCATGTACCCGCTGTCCCACATGCCGCTCCCGCACAGCTGGCACAGGTCGTGCAGGCTGCAGGGGATGCGGGGCCGGAGGCGGAACTGGTGCAGCAGACTCCGGGCCTGCAGGGAGAGGGGGGGCGCTGGGCAGAGGCGGCGGGCGCGGCCGGGGGCCCCCGCAGG